ACAGCAGTCTAATTGGGTTCAGGAAAGACCTGCAGTGCTCAGGGAGCAGAGGCCCCTTAAGAGGCCTCTTCACATGCCCTTCTCTCCCACCGTGATGGCCAAAACTCTACCCCATTGTGCAGAGGGCACTACCACCTTCTGCAAGTGAGCCGTGTTGCCCTAAAAGCACAAACTATAGTCTTCTTAAAGCAATTGAACAAAAACAACATGGCAGCCGAAATTCAGATAGACATTCAGGGCCTTATCCCATGGGCCGTGATTTACGCTTGTGCCTAGCGTTTCCAAATCAGGACGGTAGCATTTTAAACCCTCTGCACACAGTGTATGAGGCAGTGGGAAAATGAGCCTCTGAACTTTTTCCTTATATTTCTTTTGTTATACCATTGTGAACTTGAGGGGCAAAAACAGTTTTTACATAGGAAGCCAAAGGTAACTATGATCAAATGAGGGGGGGGTGTGTGTGTGAGAAAAGGAGGGGAAGCCAATTAAACTCCATGTACACGTGAAAAATAAAATGTGAACAAATATTTGAGCTAACCTCCTCAGAGAGAATTATGACTATGTATTCCCCTAGTTTTTTTTAATTTGCAAAATGAAGAACAAAACTACTGATTACAGCTGTAGTTACACATTAACACCACCTGCCATTAATCCTCCTTTCTGTAGTAATACCATTGAGCAGTGCAAACCAGTGCAATATTTTGACGTTGGAGACTGAACAGCTGCATTCCATTTCCATAGGCAACAAAGTACAAAGAATTGGAGATGAGGATCAGCTCTGAGGTTTTGGATAGCTTGCATGATGTTGCTTTCAATTGCACTATCTTTCTCAATTTTCTGCTTAGTTTTGTTCTTAAATAGGCCTTGAGCTATGTGACTCCATTTTGTACTTTGTTTACCTGAATGCTGGGTCACCATGCAGAATGTCTATGTAGCTGGGATTGTACTGTGGTGTACAATTACTTCAAAAATATTGCAGTTATACCAATCTGTCCTGCCCAAAATGAAACCATAAATGAATTCCAGTTCCTCAGCACTAATGTGCAAGATGCCAAAACCAGCTAGGGTGCCCCGGGCCAAAAAAAGACGATCGCCTGGAACTTGTGTGTCTGGGTGTACGCATGTGTGCACGTAAAACTGTACTGTACGTGGCTGACAGCACCCAAAACTGTTCTCTCCTGTTTTATAATCTACTTCCTTCTTCCCGTTTTTTGTTTTAATTTTAACCTTCTCCCCTCCCCCCCGGTCTCGGTGTTGTCACTCTTTTCCCTATTCAGCCTTGTGCTGGGAATGTCTAACGCCTCGCTAGGTGTTTATCTGTAGTATCACAGCACCCCCCCATTATTAATGGCATTGCTGTGAGGTATGAGAATAGCATTATCCTAATTTTTCATAAGGGGGACTGAGGCACTGCGAGATTGACTTTCCCAGGCTCACTAGGAAGACTGGGGAGAGCCAGGAGCTGAACCCAGATCTGCTGAGTCCAAGTTCACTGCCCCTCCTCACTAGATTATCTTCTTCTTGAAAGCCTTTTTGCAGCAGAAAGTGTATTTATGATATTAAATAAAAGCAAAATTGACAACATGTAATGCTTGTGACCCTCTCATCCATCTGAGAAAGACGTGGCATAGGCCTAAAGAACATTACCCTGCAAAGAAAAAGCTCAAAACAGCTTTATTACAAATTCGAACTTGCTTCTCTCTCAAGGCAGTGTTGTGCTGCCAGTATCTTAACAGTAAGCATTCACAAAAAGCTCACCCCTTAGCCTGTGCACCAGGGATGCACATTCTTCTGCGGAGAAACTGCAATGGAACACAGCCATTTGTTTTCCAATTTAAACACAAATGCTCTCCCATACCTTTTCTCAGAGAATCTGGCTACCTCACTTGGAAAACTAACTTATTAAGCTGCTAGAAATGTTTACACTTTATTCCTGTAGTGAGTATATTAACAAAATAGCACAGTGCTTGACTTATTATTGGAAAGTGTTATTGGAGGGGAATTCCTTCTCGGGAAGGATTGTTTAGCAGAAAACAAAGAAGGTTTGATTCCCTCAGGTCCAAACTCCTTTCAGTTTGCTAGTGATAAAGCCCCCAAGAGTACATCCTGTCTCATTGTCATTCCAGCCAGCTGTTTCCCAAGGACCGAGATGAGGTTGGAGTCCAGAGATGTATGCACAGCTCTAGCTGAGTTTTCCCCCATTCCCGTTTTCCCTTGGGGTAGGAGTGTGAGAGGACTGATATTTGGATTCTGATGGTATTGCTGTTCATGAGTCAGAAGATCATCCAAACAGTCACATGCCCAAATTCATCTGATAGACTGTTCACCCAAAACTAACTATCCCTCAGCTCTCAGCCACTGTCCAACAACAAAACAAAACAGGCCCTGCGACTGCATTCAAAATCTGTTTGCTGCACGTTGTGAACCGCACATCTGAGTTGATACTGGCAACAGAATGTAATGAAAATGAGAAAAAAAAGGTGGAGGCAAGTATAGCATCATTAACAATACCGGTAGGTGAACTATTAAAAACCTCAGAGCTGCTGTTCACCCCCCACGGCCTCCATTTGATCATGGTGAGGCTCTGTATGGTAACATCTCCAGGAGGCAACAGCTTTGTGTTGCAGGGCCGACTCTCTTTAAATAGATCAATTTTTGTACTGTAGGATTTTTGCTGTGACTAGTTCAGGGTCACTTTAAGATGCCATTAAATCCCCATTTCCATGGAGTGATGTGTAAATCCACATTACTCAACACATCAGTCCAAAGGATGACACAGGTTGTCAGTCCCAATTTTTGAAGTGGGAAAAGATTTAGCTCTTTTTGACATGGAGCTAACCCCAAATCTGCACATCAGTTACTTTGCTCCCCAAAACTAGACTAAAATATTTACTCCTTTGTACTCCTTTCACTGGAAGCTCTCCAATACGTTACAAGTTTATTTATTCCTCATAATCCTCTTGTAAGGCAGATATGCTATTCACATTTTACCGAGAGGAAAACTTAAACTCAGTGATGTTAAGTGATCTGCCCAAGGCCATGCAGTAAATCAGTAGAAAAGCTATGATTAGATTTATCTCAAGCACTACCCCCATGTAATTTTCAGCTATGAGTTACTGACCACACTATCCAAAAGGAAACTGTGTGTTGATCTAAAAATTGCTAACCTACCCACTAATTAAGGGCTGGAGACCAGGCTCTTCACTATCCTTATAGTACGAGTCAGAGGCCACAACTTGTTACATCTTACTCTTAACATACGGTTGCACAAGACCCTGTACCATCCACTACCACACCACAGATTGCATGTCTTTCTATCCTGTCAAAATTAATCAGAGATCCCATGCTCCAAAACATACACCAGGATCAAGCTTTTCCACATTCACCCTAAATATACAGGATATACACTACAAGCCTTCACAGGAGAGGCCTGAGATTCCCCTTTTAATTGATACAGGGTAAAAAGGTGAGCTCAAGTTGTAGGAGCCTACAAAAGACTGCATTATCACCATTTATATATGTAACTGGGAAGATCTGAGTTTCCTTTAAGTGCCAGGTAATAGGGTTCTACCACCTTATCTGCAGGATAAACAAGCGTACCAGGATTTTGGAATAGAGGGGCTGAGTTAAAGCTGATGATGAAATATTAACTGGTTAATTAAAAACAAAACCAACCAACCAAAAAACCCCAAACCCAAGCATCTTCAAATTCTGTGATTTTGAGAATTTGTGTTTTCACCTGTAACCCAGTCTTCCTCATTTTAAAAATATTTATTGTTATAGCTACAATGCTGTTGCACATTACTCATCTAGCTGAAAGACTTGTTTGTAGAAATTTTTGTTTTTTGCCTTGTGTCGTACAGTGCACAATCTTGGAACGTGGAAGCCCAGCTTTTAAATCTTTCCTACCACTGTGGTTAAGTAGTGACAGTCTCTCACACAATCCAGCTGACAAGCAGTTTTCCTTCCAAAGGGGAATTTTTCCCCGCAAAGCAGATTTTTTTCCATAAAGGAAACTATCCTACTCAAGTGACATCAGGGGGAGGTTCGCTGACACAGTCTATTCTGTCAAGTAAGAGAGGTTAAACCTCTTACATAAGCGCAACTCCTAGTCATCATCACCAACATTCTAGCACATCAGAGAACAGTTCAGACTTTTAACCATAGGAATGTGTGGTGGTGATAGGAATTTTTGTTTCAAAATTTCAGTAGCCATGTATCTTTGACTGTCTTTTTTCTGCTCTGGCAGATTAACGAATGCTTTGGATGCATTTCCAAATTTATCACTTGCATTACTTTCCAATGTTGCTGAATCTGTACGTTGACTTAAAATCTTGTCAGTGCCCTAAGGGTTTTTCCATCTAATAAGTGTCAGTAAAATAGAAAATGATTGACTGTTTTCCACAAACTCTGAGTGGGCTCATTTTTCTCTGGGAAATACAGACCTATTATTTTTGGACTAAATTTAGTCATTACAATATGGATTCATTAAAAATTCCATCCAATACACATCTTGAAACTGGTGTTTATATCATAATTAACAACAATAATATTTAGCACATCTACTATATTTAAGATTCTGTTCTGGAGCTGAAGTCAAATGCCCAACAACCCTCACACAAGAGCTCTATCCCCCAGCATCCCAATATTTAAGCACACAAAAATCACAAAACTTTGAGATGGAAAGGGCATCTTAAGTCTTACTGTTTGCACACCACACTGTAGCACTTAACTATTACTTTGTTGGGATTTGTGGGTGCTTTTAACTTCTGAAGCTCAAGTAACTTAGTATCAGGTGCCTAAATACAGATTAAGGAGCATAACTTTAGGAACCCAGGTTTGAAAATTTTGGGCAACATCCTTAGTGAATCTCTCACGAGGGAAAAGAAAATATTATTCTGTGCCTTTATAGAGGGGAATTGTACTTTGGTGTCTTCCTCTCTCTAGGATATCTGATGTGATTTCTACATAGCAGATTAAGTCTGTGGTATTCTACTTACTCTGGGAGGGACGGCTTGCAGAGCTGTGATATAGTTCTCCAAAGCAATGCGGCGACGGTCATTCAGCATGGCTTCCACTCTGGCCATGTGAGTCTCCACTAGCTGCTGTCTCTCATTCGCCGCTTCTTGTTCCAGTAATTCCACTTTCTCCTGGAAATGCTGCATGTTTCATGTTTAAAGAACAATAGTAGAACAATGGTTAAAAAGGTTGGCAGAGCAAGGGTAAGTACCTTTTGTGCAGAGCATTAAAATCCTTCTCTACAAATGATGGAAGTGACCTGCCTTTTACTACAGTCAAGTGTGCGATCTGTAGAATTTCTGAACCCTCCCCACACTGGCTTAAGATGGGAGCTTAGGTGCTCACCATGTCTGATCATCTGGGCATATTAACCAATCAAATATTTTTGCCTACTTCAGCATGACAACACATGAATCCTTCATGTGAGCCTGGGGATCCTGTTCAAGGTGATAAGATTCAGTGCAGGAAAGCATTTGATTTTAGTAGACACCTTGCCCTCGGAGATTCTCAGGCTCTTCTGACTATCATGAACATATATATGGGGGAAAAATAAGTCCACCTTCAACGGAATGAAACATCAGAAATTTACTAAACATTGGTCACTTAGAAAATAAAAATGACCACAAGCTGGAAAAAGTCTGATAGGAAAAGGCTGAATAATCAAAAGACACAGAGCGAGACTGTGGGATTTAATAAGTAATATTCTGGTCCTTGATTTGTATCTGTCTTGTGATGCTGCACTGAAACCAACCTGGAAGTATATGAATGCCTTCCACATTAATTGAAGTGGCCCCAGTGCACCCAAAGGAGTCTCTGGCTCTTTGGATTATAGGCAGCTCTACTTGGGCTACGTTTTTGTGTATGGTTAGTTTGCTATTTGGGGAATGCTGTCCTTTCTTTCTATTAGCATATTCAGATAAATTTGATGAAAAGACATATAACTTTCCCATAACTGGTGTTCTTCAAGATGTGTTGCTCATGTCTATTCCACAATAGGTGTGCGTGCTCGCCACGTGCACCGGTGCCGGAAGTTTTTCCCCTAGCAGTACCCATACGGGAGCGCGCTAGCGACCCCTAGAGTGGCGCTTCAATGGCATGGTATAAGGGGCGCTGCGTGCTCCCCCCACCCTCAGTTCCTTCTTGTCAGACGACTCAGACAGAGGGAAAGGAGGGAGGGATGTGGAATAGACATGAGCAACACACCTCGAAGAACACCAGTTATGGAAAAGGTAACTGTCTTTTCTTCTTCGAGTGATTGCTCATGTGTATTCCACAACAGGTGATTCCAAGCTATATCTGTTGGACGTGGGTAGGAGTTCACAAATTCTCGGGACGGAGCACAGCCCTGCCAAACCTAGTGTCCTCCCTGCCCTGAGAGACAATCACATAATGCGAGGTGAACGTGTGAACTGAAGAACAAGTGGCAGCCCTGCAAATGTCCAGAATGGGGACATGGGCCAAAAAGGCAGCCGATGAGGCCTGTGCCCTAGTCGAGTACGTCTTGACAATTGGTGGTGGAGGGATTCCCGCCAGGTCATAACAGGTATGGATGCACGAGGTGATCCTGAGTGGAGATCGGCCGACCTTTCATGTGCTTGGCCGAGGTGATGAACAGTTGCGAGGACTTTCTGAGCTGCTTAGTCCACTCCAGGTAAAAAGCCAGAGCCCGTCTCACATCCAGGGTGTGGGGGCGGTGCTCCTTGCTGGACGCATGGGGCTTGGGGCAGAGGACCGGCAGAAAAATATCCTGACCCATGTGATAGGCAGAGACTACCTTTGGGAGGAATGAAGGGTGTGGGCGGAGCTTATCTTTATGAAACACCGTGTACAGGGGCTTGGAGATCAGGGCCCTGAGTTCCGAGACCCGCCTAGCCGACCTGATCGCAACCAGGAAGGCCACTTTCCACAAGAGGTGTGACCAGGAGCATGTGGCTAGTGGCTCAAACGGGGGACCCGTCAGACAGGCCAACACCAGGTTTAAGTCCCACTGCAGGATTGGGAGCCTAACATACGGGAAGAGGCAATCCAACCCCTTAAGGAATCGGCCAGTCATAGCATGGGAGAATATCGTGTGGCCCTGCACCAGCAGATGGAAGGCTGATATGGCTGCTAGGTGCACCTTGTCTGATGAGGGCGCTAGGCCCTGGGCTCTAAGGTGAAAGAAGTAGTCCAGAATAAGCTGGATCGGGGCAGCCACCAGGGAAATGCCACACTCGTCCGCTCATCTGGAAAACTGAGAACACTTTGCCAAGTAGGCTCGGCATGTGGAGGGCCGCCTGCTTTCTAGAAGGACACGCTGAACCCCTTCCGAGCACGTCCTTTCCTCCCTACCTAACCATTGAGTAGCCATGCTATGAGGTAGAGTGCTGCTAGGGTGGGGTGGAGGCGGCGGCCCTGGTCCTGGGAGAGCAGGTCTCAGCGGGAGGGCAATGGTGGGGTGACTGCCACGCCTGTGAGGGCCTTGTACCAATGATGCCTGGGCCATGCCAGGGCAATCAGAAGGACCCAGGCCTTGTCCGTCTTTATCTGTTCCAGGACCTTGCCAATCAGCGGGAACGGGGGAAAGGCATAGAGAAACTGGCTTGACCAGGACAGGAGGAAGGCATCGGAGATAGCGCGCCCCCCCACCCTCCCCGGAGCAGAACCAGGGACAGCGACAGTTCTGCCGAGTCGCGAACAGGTCCACCTGGAGAGTTCCCCATACTTGAAAAAGTCTGTTTACCACCTCTGGGTGGAGAGACCACTCATGCTGAGAGGAGAAATCCCTGCTCAAGTGATCCGCCTGTGCGTTCCGGGTACCCGGCAGATGGAAGGCCCGTAGGCAGATGTCGAGGACTAAACATAAGTCCCACAGCCTGAGGGCTTCGTGGCAGAGAGCAGAGGATCGGGACCCGCCTTGCCTGTTGATGTAGAACATCGAGGCCGTGTTGTCCATGAGGACACTGATCATCTGGCCCTCCAGATGCGAGTGGAAGGCCATGCATGCCAGCCGTACCACACTGAGCTCCTTGACGTTTATGTGGAGGGTCAGATCCTGAGCCGACCACAGAGCTTGGGTCTAAACGTTCCCCACATGGGCCCCCCATCCCAGGTCCGATGTGTTGGACACCAGTTCCAGTGACAGGGTCCTGCCCCTGAACAGGACCCCTTGGAGCATGTTTCTCGGGGAGGAACACCACCGTAGGGCGGTGATCACTGGCTCGGGCACCGATCACTGGCTCGGGCACCGTGAGGACTTTGTCCATCCTGTCCCTGGCTTGGGAAAACTCCGAGGCTAACCAGAGCTGGAGGAGCCTCATCATGAGTCTGGCGTGACGGACCACATATGTGCACGCTGACATGTGACCCAAGAGCTAGAGGCACGCTCTCGCTGTTGTCACCGGAAACCTTGTGACCGTGTCGATGAGCCCCTTCAGGGTCTCAAACCTGTTCGGTGGAAAGGAGGCTCTGGCCAACGAGGCGTTCAGGACCGCCCCGATAAACTCTATGCGTTGTACCGGGACTAACATGGACTTGGTGTTGTTTACCAACAGGCCCAAAGTGGTGCACGTGGACAGAAGAAGCGCCACGTGATCCCGCACCTGCGACTGGGAGCTGTCCTTGACCAACCAGTCATCCAGATAGGGGAAGATCTGGACCCCCCAGCGCCTGAGGTTGGCCATCACCACCGACATACATTTCGTGAATACCCTGGGGACAGTGGACAGGCCAAATGGGAGGACCGAAAATTGGTAGTGTTCCTGCGCCACCGTGAAATGGAGGAAGCGGCTGTGCCCCTCGAATATATGAATGTGGAAGTACGCATCCTGCAAATCAAGGGTGGTGTACCAGTCCCCGGGATCCAGGAAGGGGATGATCGAGGTCAGGAAGACCATACAGAACTTGAGCTTCACCATGTACTGTTTCAGGCCTCGCAGGCCCAAGATGGGCCTGAGCACCGCTTTGGCATTCGGGATAAGGAAATAGTGGGAGTAGTACCCCTTGCCTTTGAAATCCCCTGGTACCACTTCCACCGCTCCTAGGCCCAGGATCCGCCCCACCTCGTGCAAGGGGTCCCCCAGGAGGGACGGGGGCGGGGAGTGGTTGGAAGTAAACTGGAGGGCATTGTTGGAGAATAACAGAGTTCTCTCTCACTCTTTGTTTGGGTACAGCAAGTCAGATACTTTTATTTTCTCTAACAATTGCGTAGAGGGAGAGCGCTAACCAGGTCTCTCTACAGGTAAACAATTACAGCAAACCTTTATACCTTTCATTACAGACAATAATAAACAGCTGCATTTTGTTTATACATAGGCCATCTTGATATCTTATTTTTCTCACCTGTTTTGACTCTAGTCTACATACAATATTTTCTACACATTATCTACACAAGGTCGCAACAACTTCTCACACAGTTCTTTCCCACTCGCCTCATACAATCCTCGCTTCTACAAATCTCGTGTTATTAGGGTTACAGTTAGCCTGACTCTTGCTAACGAACTGTCATGCATTGCATCCCCTTCCTGTCAGTTCTTTCTCTGCTTCCACAACACCCCCTTTTGTACTACTAGTACAACAAACATTTTCAAATCTCTATTTGCATTAAATCTTGGAATTCAGATTCAACATCAGATGCTTCAACCTTAGGCGTTTTGATTGGATGTAATGACAATGCATGATGAGCATGGACATGAAAGGTATTACTATTATTATGTCCTTTACAACAACAACAACATACTCCTACACTAGCTAACAACAACACAAGCAATAACATTCCCATAGCGATAATATGATGGGGTTGTTGTACAATCTTAGTCATAAAACACAATACATCATACTTGGTACATAAGGTGGACACTCTATAAGCTGTCTGAAAGGCATACTTTTCAACTTGATATATATTTTGAAGCATGTGAATTTGCCCTTGTACTTGATAGATTTTCTGAACCTCTGCTTCCACAGTGTAGCTCCAGGAGATGGTATTGAGGACCAATCGGTCCGAGGTCAGCCGCGACCTCTCCGGGAGGAAATCGCACAACCGATTGGAGAAGGGAAGCTTTATTGAGGGTAGATCCCTGATGAGAACAGGCAGGGCGCCCCCAGATGTCCCGTCAAAACCCCCTTTTCCCCACTTGCTTGCCCTTGGAGGACCCAGGCTGGGGGGCAGGCTGAGACTGCCCCTCTGGGCGCCTATTATAGTCCCGCGACTTCTTATAAGTGGTCTCGTATTTTGAATGGGTGGCCTGAGCGGGAGCCTGCTGCGGCTTGAACTTAGGTTTAGCCGGAGCCAGAACATAGAGACCCAGAGTCTGGAGAGTCATGCGGGAGTCTTTCAGGCCATGCAGCTTTGTATCCGTTCGTTCCACAAACAGAGCTTTGCCGTTAAAAGGGAGGTCCTGCAGGGAGGTCTGTGCCTCGCTGGACAGCCCAGAGAGCAGGAGCCATGACGCTGTTCTCATGGACACCGCGGAGGCCATGGACCGCGCAGCATGTCTGCTGCATTCGAAGCTGCCTGCGGAGTTGCCCTGGCAGCTGCTGTGCCCTCCTCCACCAGCGCTTTGAACTCCTTCCTGTCGCACTCCTGGAGGGAGTCCTCGAACTTGGGCAGGGAGCCCCACATATTGAACTCCTACCGGCCCAGGAGAGCCTGGTGGTTCGCCACCCATAACTGGAAGCTTGAGGACGAATACATTTTTCTTCCAAATGAGTCCAGCCTCCTTGAATCTTTATTTTTCGGGGTAGGGGCTAGTTGGCCCTGCCATTCCCTGTGGTTGACCAACTCAACCACCAGGGAGTTACAAGCAGGGTGGGTGTATAAGTATTCATGGCCCTTGGCAGGTACAAAATACTTGCGTTCCGCTCTCTTAGAAATGGGGGCCAATGAGGCCGGGGTTTGCCACAGGGCATTTGAAATTTTCGCCACCCCTTCGTGGAGAGGCAAGGCCACCCTGCCCGGTGCCGAAGAGGACAGTACATAAACAGGGAGTCCGAGGGCTCCTCCATCTCCTCTGCTTGGAGGGGGAGGCTTGATGCCACACTTTTTAATAATTCTTCGTGGGCCCTAAAGTCCTCTTGCAGGACGGAGGCAGGAGGAGCTGTAATAGTCTCATCCATGGAGGGTGAGGAGGCCAATGCGGTACTTTGTGCGTCCACCAGCACTGGAGTGTCCACCACCTGGTCGGTCTCCGGGCATGGTGCCAAGGATGTACCTCCCACCAACTCCTTCCTCAGAGGTCCGGAGAGGGAGGCCAATGGTCCTTCTGAGGCTCCGGCCACTGAGCGAGCCCCCACCGAGGGCTGCATCAGGGGCCACAGTGCCCACTGGTACCATTGGGCCAGCCATGGGGCCCGGTGCTGTGAAACCGGTGGAGCCGGCTGTTTGGCCTGACCCATGGATGGACGACTACGAAGGGAGGCCAGGCTGACATACGACCTGCCGCTGTCCTTGGACCAGGAAAAGCGGCGTCGCCGGGAGCGATGCTGACCACGGGACCGCGATCCCGACGTGGAGGACTGGTACTGTCGGTAACAGCTGCTCCGTGATCGGCTCCGGCGGGCGGACCTGTGACGGCGAGATGACGGCGATCGATGCTCAGGGCTGCGGAAGCGGTGCCATGGCGAGGTCCTGGAGCAGGATGACAAACGGGAACGACGTCGATGTTTGTGCCGTGACCGGCTGCGATAACCCCTCTGAGACTAGGACCTTTGGTGTCGCCTGCCTCCGTCCTGTCGGTGTTCACTCCTCGAGGCGGAGTGGTGCCAAGAGTCTCGGTCAGACGGAACCCAACCAGACAGGCTGGTGGGCGTCGAGGGTGATCCATGTGGACTTTACCCTGAACAGTCGCTGGGCAGTGAACAGTATCGGGAACATTCCCTCGACTGAAACTGGTACCGAGCCGGGGGTGACTGCAGAGATCCCAGCGGCAGCTTGCCTCTGGAGCGCGGTGCCGACATCAGCGGTGCTCCCGGCATGGACATAACATCCCAAGCTGCCTGCCGGGCCTCCGGTGTGGAGGGCATCCGGACATCCGAGGAGGCCTGCTCCTAACGGGCGGGCTACTCCGCTCGACTTGAGTCAGAAGCCTAGAGGCCGTTGAGGATCGAGGACTGCCCAACATAGGTCTAGCCTCTGTCCCGGGTTTATTCCAGTGCCGCGGCAAAGAAGGCCTCTTCCTGGCCTTCTTGGCATGCCCCGTGGACGGGGAGCGGTGCCGAATAGTCGATGGCGCCAAAGGGTTGCCGTGCACTGACACTGCAGTACCCAGTGCTGACTCGGAGCGGCGCCGTGGAGCTGGGGTCAGCGCTGACTCCATCAGAATAGCCCGGAGCCTAATGTCCCTTTCTCTCTTGGTCTGAGGCTTAAACGACTTGCAAATCTTGCAGCGATTACTGAGATGGGTCCCCCCGCAAACAGCGTAAACAGTCCACGTGCGGATCACTCACTGGCACAGATCGTCTACAAGTGTTGCATGACTTAAAACCTGTGGCACGGGGCATGCCCCAGCCGGGGCGCTCTAGCTTAACTAAACAACTAACTAACTACAGGTACCAAAGACTGAACAAACAAGCTGTTTCGAGCAAAGCTGGAGGAGAGCAGTTCCGAAGCACCTTCACTGGCGGCAAGAAGGAACTGAGGGTGCGGGGAGTGCGCAGCGCCCCTTTTACTGCGCCATGGAGGCGCCACACCAGGGGTCGCTAGGGCGCTCCCCTACAGGTACTGCTAGGGGAAGAACTTCCGGCACTGGTGCACGTGGTGAGCACACACACCTATTGTGGAGTACACATGAGAAATCACTCGAAGAACCACCCTCTGCCCTGATACAGGCCCTCCGAACATTCCCAATATTTCAGAAAGAAAAATAGTTCATTTCCAGTTTGGTTGAAGGTTTATTTTGAGTGGGGTTGGTTCCTATTCCAATCTCCCAAAACCTGTTTACCCATTTCTACTTGGAACCAAGATACTCGTGCAGTATCAAAAGTTTATACTGTTACAATTCTGGTGTAACTACTCACTACAGCTGGGATGGTCAAAGTGGCCTAAGAGGGAATGGGGTTCCCAACTCCTGCTGAAGATAAATCTTAATGTCATTGAAAACTTTCCCCTACAGTGGTAACACTGTAAATTGTGAGGCTCTCCACTGCAATTCAACTGCTAAGTATAAAAGCATATAGACTGATATCTGGCAGCTAAAAGAGCAACAGTAAAAGCAGAAAATAATAATTCCCCAACACAATTATGCTTCCAAATTTTACCACAGCTAGCATGGTTCGTATTTTATTTGCAACCCCAATTGGTCTGCTTGTAATTGTGTTTTTCTTTACCTGGATAACAGCCTTCTTATCAGCCTTTGGCAAGTTCTTTGCTTGGCGTTCCGCTTCTTCCCATTCCCTCATGACCTAAACAGCAACAAAACATGGAGCATAACTTTTGAGTTTTTCTCTGATGGTTTGGGATTTAGCAATAGTCAAATAACATAGTGCAGATAATCATCTCTTTTTCTCCCCTTATAAAGAATAGTTGCAACTTTAACAGAGTCTTGTTGTCAATTTAAAAACAAGAAATGGATCACCGTGTCTGAACATCATTCAAGTTCTCTCAACTTGAGGTTGCTAGAAGCAAAGCAATGCATTAACTGTAGATGTTTAACAGACCCTCCAGCATCAGCAGAGGAAGTAGAGTTACTAGATGGGTTAACATACTGACCTTTTCATCTCAGAGAAAAATAAGCATTTTAAATCTATTTTATGTCCTCAGTTAAAATGAACCAATTTCAACTGATTCTAAAAGGCATTCATTCACATCACAAACTCTTCTAGTTTTTGACGGAGTACATCAGCTGGCTTTTGATCAGACCAGGGCAAGACTATGTGCAATTTCTGCTAGTCTGTTCTGTATGCATGCTGAACACAAAGAACTGAGCTTACTTGTATCCCAAGTACAATATTGGCAGAAGAACGATATAGGAAAACTTGCAGTAGGCTTATTTTGAACAGTCTGAAAGGTCACTTGCCACGGGGAACGAAAAGCAATACTCTCTTGCAAAGGGGGGCAACTGCTGTTTCCCTCTCTGACTGTGTGTTCTATATGTGCCATTTGAAATCACTGTAAATTGTTATCAAAAACATGACCTTGCTCATGAATGTCCCCATTTCATTCCTAGGCAGCAATCTTTTAAGACAGCACATTATGTGCATTAGTAGAACTTCTTCCACTGAACACTGCATGTGCAAACAGTGACTTCTGTTTGCACTATTGTAAATAAATAAATAAATAACCCCCCCAACTTTCCTGCAAAATACACAGGTTTCCCTTCCCTGTCCCTCAATGGAAAATGCAGCCTTCATGACATTTAGAACAGAAACTCATTAAAATACTTTTTCCAAAGGGCAGGCGTGACAGGGTCCCCGAGGTGCAACCTGGGCTGTAGGATCGCTGAGCCCTCCAAACCCACTAACCTGGGCTGCCTCTCACATTGTGATGCTGATGTCAAGCTACAAGCCTCTGACAGGCACTGCACATACACAGCCATCCACAGGCCGGGACACACCCAACTGAGTTGTGTGAACGATCTCCCAGCCACTCATGAACTATCAATAGAGAGGCTCCAGCCAATTCCCCTCAGCTCCCCAGCCTTGCACCCCACAACTGTGCCGTCTTGCACTGGTCAGAAGCCTGGCCAGTGTAAGCTCATTACCTAGTTCACCACTCCGACAAAAGGGTAGCGCATGTGCACCAGCCCTTGGTTAATCTGAGCTGAGATTTCCCAAGCAGTTCGGCTACAACACACTGTTTTTAGGTAAAATATAAAATAGATTTATTAACTACAGAAAGCTAAATGTTAAGTGATTATAAGTGGTAGGCATAAAGGTCAGAGACAATTACCTCAAGAAATAAAAACAGAAACACACATTTTAAATCCTAAACTTTTAGTCTAAGCCAGAGTTGAATCAAACAATGTCTCACCCTGACAGATGGTACAAGCCAACTAGAGTTCCTCAATAAACAGGCTGGGGCTAACCTTCCAGGGCTGGGACCAATCTTTCCTAGTTGAAAGTCTTTCTCCAGACCTTCTTCCAGGTGTTGAGATGGGGGCAGGGAGGAGGGAAAAGAGAGAGAGAGGGGCGCCAAATAATTATGTCACTTCCCCTCTTTTATACTTTCTTTCAGCTTGTGGAAAGATCTTGCTGTGACGAGGGGTTCAGGCAGTCCCCACTGGTCAAGCAGTCTCTATTGCATATGTGCCTTCTCTAAGGAGTCTCTGGGATAGTGGATTCTTTTCTTGATGGGTGTTGATGAGCCATTAACACTGTATGGCTATGGATGGCTACTCAATGGTTGTAACTGAAAGGCTGGTTGTGGGTGCTCCCAACATATTTCAGTAACACACACAGTAATACTTCATATCTTCACATACAATGATAGTACACACAATCCAACAGGATATTAATGTTCAACAGATCAAGACTTTTAAAATTATGCCTCACAAGATATACTTTGTACAAAACATATTAATCATATCACCATGGTGAATATGGAGGTTCCAGGGTGCTGCTTTGAGGTACAGAGTGTCACAGGAGGAAAAATATAGGGTTCACAGTTACACATGCTATTTAGAAAGAAAGGAAAAAGATTCACCGTATATGCATTTCTAATACACTTTAAGGTTGAACTGCAATTTTGTTATAATGCATCTCTACGATGGAAAGACATTAACTTGAAAAAAGCAATGCACATTGTTCCTCCTGAAAATGAGATGACTCCTTTCAAATTAGGTTATTTTGTTTTATATAGGGCTGTTTCTGGTCTTCAACAATGACTGGCCAAAGAGTAGCGAAATGTATTTTAGTAGCCAGTGTAATGCTGCGAATCCTAAAGTAAGCAAGTTTTTCACTGCCTGCTTCTGGACTTCAGAGGCATATTGTTTTTGAACTGATTAGGAGCAGTGTGGCTGGTATTTAGATAATGGTTAGAAGCTCAGAGGTCATACTGTAACTGAAAAATATTTTAAAACAAATAGACCTGAAATTATTTAACTTGTAAGTCATGGCCTAGACCTCAATAAACTTCTACTAGCATCTATCAGTTGAAATCAGAAGCCCTAAGAACATACATGAGGTGATAGTTCAAGCATACTCCATCAATTACAGGCTCTTTTAACTGGAAAACTAACTATCCTATTTTGGCTAGTCCCAGAAATGTGGAACAAGAAAGGTGGAGGAGTTACTTATCTTGTACAGTAATTTGAGTTCTAAGATGTGTGCTCAATTGGAGATTTTTGTCAGCAGCGTCTGCAGGTCCGCATCTGTGCCCTAGTCACCCTCATGCCCCAATACAAAAGTATATAGGGAAAGATCGACCCACCACCACATCTGTTCCTTCTCAATCACGGAAGTCCCAAGAAAGAGACTCCAAGGCAGACAGGAAGGAGGGTAGGTAGTGGAGCACCCATACGGACAGACATCTCAAGGAACTCAAGTTATTGGGCAAGAGAAGTAACCTCTCCTTCGACTAGTGTCCTAGACTCCCAAGAAGTACCTCCATCAGGGAGAAGGGTGCCAAGGAAGCAGATATAGTACAGACCATAGGAAAGCTGTGTCAGTCCTGGGGTCAGGCATGAGAACATAATGCTGGTAAAATGTATGAGGCGAACACCAGGTGGCTGCCCTACAGATGTCTGAAATGGGTACATTTTTGAGAAGTGTGACAGAGGTAGACCTTGCCCTGGTGGAATGAGCAATAACTCTCAGAGGAGAACCACCCCTTTTTTTAGCTTTACAGCATCTGTAATCCATTTGGACAGTCTTTGAATAGAGATCAGATGTCCTTTAATTTGATCTGCAAAAGAGACAAAGAATTTAGCGGATGCCTGAAAGGGCCTAATCCTGTCAAGGCAAAAGCTTTTTTAATGTCCAGTGTATAGAGGCTCCATTCTTCTCTTGAAGAGTGAGGCTTGGGGTAAAATACTAGTAGGTGAATTTCTTCATTAACATGGAATTCAGACGAGTTTAGGAAGGAAGTGAGAGTGGACACAGAGTCAACACCATAGATGGTGAGTCTGTCTTTAAGGACTGACGTTCCCCCACCCTCCTGGAGGAAGTAATGGTGACAAGGAATGAGATCTTTAGGGACAAATGAAGGAGCAAACAACTCCCCAGATGTTCAAATGTAGAGCATTGAAAACTAAGGCCATGTCCCATGATGGAATTGTTTCCTTGATAGGAAGAAAAGGTTGAATAGGCTTTTGCAATGGTGGGGTGGGCAAAGACTTAGAATCCTCTATGGAGGGTGAAATGCTGTGATGGAAGTGTGCACCCCAAACTATGAGGGAGGCATCTGTGGTGATAATCCTCGTGGGAGGGGCAGTACCAATGGAACTCCTATGCATACCTTTTGAGGATCCTTCCACCAGTTCATAGAATTGAGGACCTTCTGAGGTCTGGACACCTGCTTAGATAGATTGTGTCTGTTGGCTGTATAGATGGTTCTCAACCATGCTTAAGGACACAGAGTGAAGTTTTGTGAAGGGAGTCACAAACGTGCAGGCTGCTACATGGCCCAGAAGTTGCCAGCACATCCTTGCGGTGTTTTATGGACCCTCTTGTATTGTTGAGACAAGGTTGGCCATTGTGGTGAATTGGTCCCTGGTACAGTATGCTCTGGCAAAAAGAGGAGTCCAGAGTGGCTCTGATGAAGTCCATATGTTGTGTGATGTTAGGGTAGACTTCTCCAAGTTGAAGTGGAGACCCAGAGAGTGATACAGAGACAGGGCCTTGCTGGTTGCTTTGAGAAGTGAGGGGCCCTTTTGGAGCTGATCGTCCAGGTAGGGAAAGACTATGGTGCCTTTCTAGTGAAGATAGGCTGCTGCTGCTGCTGACAGAACTTTGGTAAAGACCTTTGGGGTGGCAGAGAGGCCAAAGAGTAGGATGCAATACTGGTAGTGGTCCCTGTCTACCATAAAATGTAGGAATAGTTTGTGTGAGGGATGAATGGTGACATGAAAATAAATATCCTAAAGGCTGAGGGAAACAAACCATTCTCCTGGATCCAGAGAGGGAATTGCTGTTGTTAGAGTCACCATTCTGAACCATTGGGAGTGGACAAAAGTATTTAAAGTCCTGAGGTCTAGGATGAATCTCAATCCCCCTCTTTTCTTCAGGACGAGGAAGTACCAAGAATAGAACCCTTTCCCGATGAAGTCTGGTAGGACAAGTTCGATCACCCCCAGAACTAGGAGGGATTGTACCTCCTGCCATAAGAAGTCTTTGTGAGCGGTGTCCCTGAAGAGGAATGGGGGAGGAGGGTGATAAGAAGCTGAACTGGAGAAATCACCTCCAGGATCCATCCACCCAGGAAGGTAGGAAATAGGAGAGATGATCGTCCTAATGGTGGGAGGAGA